AATAATGACCGAGGCTGAAGTAAACCTGGCTGCCAAAAACAACTTGAGTGGAAAAGAATGAGGCCCAAAAACTCCTCCAGCACTGAGTTACCTAAAAAAAACCTGCCATGTAGCATCTTGTACGTTTAGCATCTGTCAGCATAGGAGCTGAAGACTGTTAGACTCTATTCTTCTCTTTGTGGATTCTATTCTTCTCTGAAGACTAAAGCCCTGTCGGAGCTGGATTAGTCTTAGCTGGGGAGGTGCTGTAATTTGAGTGATTAGACAAGATCAGTGATTTTAATCCAGCTTATGTGCACAGCGGCCAACTGTATGTATCTGGCTGTGATGAGGATACAGCGTTACCTGAACAGTGAAGGTACTGCAGATTCTGAAAATATAAAAGTACTCCACTCTAAAGCACGCATGGGTCTCTACTACACCCAAATTATTATAAAGTTCAGAGCGCTTTACTGTTATTATTAATGTAAACAGTTCCAATCCTGAAATCAGGGGGTGCTGCAGCCCCCTTATCACCCCCACTTTCTGTGTTCCTGGCTATGAATGATTCAGTAACTACTATAATTTATTCAGTATTTACTATGAATGATTCAGTAACTACTATAATTTATTCAGTATTTACTATGAATTATTCAGTAACTACTATGAATTATTTGGTATCCACTATGAATTAATTAGTATGTACTATGAATTATTCAGTAACTACTATAATTTATTCAGTAACTACTATGAATTATTCGGTATCTACTATGAATTAATTAGTATCCACTATGAATTATTCAGTATCTATTATGAAATATTCAGTATCTATTATGAATTATTTAGTATCTACTCTGAATTATTAAGTATCTACTATGAACTATTCAGTACCTACTATAATTATTCAGTATCTACTATGGGTTATTCAGTATCTACTATAATGTATTCAGTATCTACTATAATTTATTCAGTATCCACTATGAATTATTTAGTATCTTCTATTAATTATTTAGTATCGACTATGGATTATTCAGTAATTGCTGTAAATTATTTAGTGTCTCATAATATATTCAGTATCGACTATGAAATATTCAGTATCTACTCCACTGCGTGGGTCCCGTAGTTCTGAGTTTTGAGAGTGTAATAATTGAATCATGCAGTAACTTACAGTAAGCTTACATTACTTGTTAGCTGCATTAGCCTCGTAGCTCCAGTGCTAAACTAAAGAAGCAAACATGTCTTGGCTGATTGACTCTGTTTGGGGTAAGAGGGAAAATATGCAAATTAAATTCTTTTAATTAATTCTTTAATTAGTCTCTTAAGCCCCACCCCCACTCGGTCGCTGAGTGTTCACTGCTGTCTGGTTGCTCCACGTTCGCTTACTCACTCTCTCTCTCTCTCTCTCTCTCTCTCTCTCTCTCTCTCTCTCTCTCTCTCTCTCTCTCTCTCTCTCCCACCCACACCTGCTGTCTTTATTTCCCTCTCCATCACTGTCCACTTGTTTTCTCCTGCTGCTTCTTTCTGTCTAGCAGGCTGCCTTTATTAACCCCTCGACTGCTCTATCTCTCCTTTTCCTCTCTTTCACTGAGCGCAGTAAATGCGTTATCTTGACCAGTCAGCCAATGTGTCTGATTCTACATGTACACCAATCTGTTAGCGCTCTCTCTCTCTCTCTCTCTCTCTCTCTCTCTCTCTCTCTCTCTCTCTCTCTCTCTTCTCTCTCTCTCTCTCTTTCTCTTACACTTTCACATTACTCCTTCTCTCTCTCTCTACTCTCTCTCTGTCTCTCTCTCCCTCCTTCATTCCTTCTACTCTCTCCCTTTTTCTACTTTTACTCTTTCTCTGCTCCGTTCTTTCTCTCTACCCTCCCTCTTTCTCTTTCTTTCCTTTCTCCCGCCGTCCTTTCTTCTTCTGTGTCCCTTCTACTCTCTCTCTCTCTCTCTCTCTCTCTCTCTCTCTCTCTCTCTCTCTCTCTCTCTCTCTCTCTTCCCTTCCTTTTTTCATTTCTTCTTCGTCTCTCTTGCTTTCTCTGTCCTTAACTCTCTACCTTTGCCTCTCTTTTCTCTACCTCCCCCCTTTTCCCTCTCATTCATCTCCCTCCCTCCGGCTCCTCCCTTTTCTTCTTCCTCTTTCTCTATCTCTCTCTCCCTCACTTCCCCTTCTCTCTTCCTCGCTCGTCCTCTCCTCCCCCCTCCACCTCTCCTCTTTTCTGTCGGCATCTGGTTTCTCGCAGTGACAGATCAGTCCCCCCCCTTCCTCTCCTCCATCCCTCCATCCCTCTATCCCTCCACCTCTCCACCCCTCCACCCTGCGCTCTGATCATATCTTTTGAACAAGTGCTGATTAATGACATACACAGTGTGATGAATAATTCACCAAAGAGAGGAGGAGAGGAGGGAGGGAGTGGAAAAGGAAAGAGAGAGAGAGAGAGAGGATGAAGGAGGAGGGAAAGAAAACACAAAGGACAAATAGATAAATAGACATAGGAACGCTGATATGGAAATGCATCTTTCTCTCTCTCTCTTCCTCTCTCTTTTGCCCCCTCTCTTTCTCTCTCTCTCTGTCTGTCTTTCTCCTCTGTCTTTTTCTTTCTCCTATTCTCCTGTACTTTTCTTTCACCTCCCTCTTTACCCCACTCTCTTTCTCCTCTCTCTCTCTTTCTCCTCTCTCCCTCTAAAGTTAACTAAAGTTAACCGATAGTTTGGGTTTATAATTCATAAGTAGATTAAGAGTCATAATTCAACATAAAACAAGTTCAAGTTTTTAACATGACCATTTTTCAACCTCTCTTCATCCCACAGAGTTAAAAAGGCTGTTTTTGTTACTGTGCCTTTTAGGCTCAATCCCATTTCTCGTTTTTACCCCTACCCCTGTGCCTTTTAGGCCCAATCCCATTTCTCATTTTTACCCCTACCCCTTTACTGTTTTCGATTGTCATCTTGCCCCTTGGACCTGAGTTACAGGTTAGTGGTTGAAATCTTCCCTACGAAATGGGACCCTCAAATAAAAAGACTAAGTCGTGGCCATGCATTATTTTTAATTATCCATACCCTTCTAGCTGATATCTAGAACCATATACAACACATTCTCCATCAGTCTGAAGAACAATCATGAGAAGAACCATTTAAGCATGCAGATGGTTCTTTGAGTGTACATGGTACTATAAAGAACCACTGTCATTACTAAAGAACCCTTAAAGAATCATCTTGTATAAGAATGTATATTTAATACCTCATAACATTATTAGGTTTTATTACATCTTTGATCAAGTGCAAACTTTCTCACGGTTTTAGATTTATTACATTATGAGGAAATTATTGATTTTTACAAGGCTCAGGAGTGAGTGCTATATTTTAAAGCACTGAGGAACCCTAAGGGCCTTTTAGGCCTTCAAAGAAAAAAATATATGTCTGTAATTTCCAGATCATTCTTATTTAATGGAATCAGTATCCTTCTTGCATTCAAACTGTAGCGCTAGTCATAGTTCATTGTCACATTTTGGTTGGAAATAATAAGGTTAACCCCTTAAATGGCCAAAGTTTTATTACACACTTCTATATCCTAAGAATAACTCAGCTAGTTTGCATTGAAGTCCCTGTCGTTACTGAATAATAAGCCTTAGTATGTAATAACATAAGAACAATTATCTCTGTCCTGTCTAGGTAGATACAGTTAAGCTATTGGTTAGGACTTCAGGAGCTGGACAGAAGGCCTAACATGTCAGAATAACTACCAACATAATTAGAAACTGATTCAATTTTGATTCAATTGATGGGACCAATTCTGTAGATATGTTAGTGACTGTATATACGAGCCGTAGTCTAAGCAGGTTCAGGAATGGAAGTCAATGGAGCAAGAAAAGATTGAAGCTTTTGTTCAGTATAAAGGGCTCAACTTTGGAGGTACTGAATCAGTGAATCGTTGAATCACTGATTGACTGAATCGAGTTGGGATGAGCAGCTGAGGAGAGTTTTTTCTGAGGAGCAGTCAGTGAGTGAGGTAAAACACTGCTCGGACAGACAGGAAGACAGACGCGTACACAGACAAACGAGTGTGACTGACAGGTACTGTTTAGTCCCTGAGCGCCGAGTGGAGCTGTTCACCCCAGCGTGGTGCTGAAACTGAGGAGCCCCTGAGACTTTTTTCAGCGATGACTCACTCACACTCCCCCCGGCCCCCTCCACCAGTCATTAACATCTCACTGATTGAAAGCTCATATTCAGAGACATGAGTGAAGCTTTAATCGCTGGGTGTGAAGGTCTTTGTGGTTCTGCTGCTGGAGAAACGCGCCGCCGCTGCCTCTCTGCGCTCTGTGTTCACATCGCAGGGCTTATTGTGTGTGTTGGGTGACTCTCTGTCACAATGCCTCTTTCTCTCTTTTTCTCCAGTCTCTCTCTCTCTCTGATCCTCTCTCACCTGCCTCCGTTACCTTCCTTCGTGCCGAAGAAAAGACACTCTTCCTCCTCCTCCTTTACCCACACATCCAGCTCTGATCTCTCTCTTCACTCTCTATCCTTTCTTTCCTTCCTTTTTTTCTTTCTTTCTTTCTTTCTCTTTCCTATTTTCTTTCTTTCTTTTTCTTTTTCTCTTTCCTATTTTCTTTCTTTCTTTTTCTTTTTCTCTTTCCTATTTCTTTCTTTCTTTCTTTTTTTCTTTCTTTCTTTCTTTCTTTCTTTCTTTATTTCTTCTCTTTCTTGTTCCTTTTTTCTTTGTTTCTTTCTTTCCTGGTTTCCTTTCTTTTTCATATTCTTTCCTTTTCTGTGTCTTTCTTTCTTTCTTTCCTTCCTTTTACCATTTCTCCTTTCCTTGTTTTTCTTTCTTCCCTTCTTTCTTTCTGTCTTTCTTTCTTTCCATTTTTCTTTCTTCCTTTGCGGTTTCTTCCCTTCTTTCTTTCTTTGTTTCTTTGTTTCTTTGTTTTCTCTCTAATTCTGTATGTATTTCTCTTTGTGACTCAGTCTGGTTTTCTCTCTCTCTCTCTCTCTCTCTCTCTCTCTCTCTCTCTCTCTCTCTCTCTCTTTCAGAGATCTCCGTCAGTCTTCTCTCCGTTATTGTGACATTCTGTGGAATCGTCCTTCTCTCCGTCTCTCTCTTTCGTCTCCTGGAAGCTCTGCTGGTTGCCATGGCGAGATAAAGAGGGCGGAGGTCTGAGTCTGACGGCAGGGCTCCTCCCCGGAGGGGCGGGACTGACCGGGCTCGGAGGGGGTGGAGCCTCTTCCCTCCTGCCCCCGCTGCTGCAGAGGAAGGACACGCACTCATCTTCCTCTCTGTATCCCTCGCTCTCTCAGCCCAGCCAGCACCACCCCCACTTCTCTGACCTGATGGGGGTGGAGGGGGGAGGAGGGCTGGTGGTGGGGGGAGTGGTGGGTGGTCCTCAGGAGACGCAGGAACATTCCTACCTGGACATGGACTCATACCCCAACAACGCAGGTGAGCACCCTGCACACACTCATCAAAACGCTGGCCACTTTATTAGAAACCCCTGACTTGTAGGTCCACCTGGATGACGCACATTTACACTCTGAAATATAAAGGTGCCAAGTGGAACCAGAAGAACCTTTCAGTTGATGATTCTTCAAAGAACCATTTTTAGGTCCTCAAAGAACTTTACAGGACCTTTACAGATTTTTGTTTGAACATCTTAAAAAGTTGAAGCACATGGAAGGTTAGTGGAAGCGCAAGGTAGGTGTTTCTAATAAAGTGGCCAGAGAGTGGAAGCACAAGGTAGGTGTTTCTAATAAAGTGGCCAGTTAGCAGAAGCGCAAGGTAGGTATTTCTAATAATGTGGCCAGTTAGTGGAAGCACAAGGTAAGTGTTTCTAATAAATTGGCCAATTAGTGGAAGCGCAACGCAGATGTTTCTAATAAACTGGCCAGTGAATAGAAGTACAAGGTAGGTGTTTCTAATAAAGTGTCCTGTTAGTGGAAGTGCAAGGTAGGTGTTTCAGATAAAGTGGCCAGTTAGTGGTTGCATAAGGTAGCTGGCTAGCTTATAGTCCAGGGGTTCCCTATCCCAGTCCTGGTGTCCATACTCTGCATGTTCTTGTGTTTTCCCTATTCTACCTCTCTGTCTCAGCCAGTGAAGAGCTTATCAGTTGGTTATTGAGTTTTGCTAGATGAGACAGAGAACAAGAATGTGTCCAGTGTGGGGTCTGCAGGGCTGAGACTGTGAACCCTTGATACGGTCAGTGCAGTGTATCAGGGAAAGTAGATGAGAATGGCCACATTACTGTTGCTTTCTTATACACTGATGTTTATCTGTATCTTCACGTCATTATGTTTCTTTACCTTTAGGGACTCTTAAGCTCAGCCAAACGTCTCCAGAAATGCCATCGGCTCCAGATGGAGGTTCTGCTGCTAAAGAGATGGCCAATGCCCACTCTCAGCAGACCACCACCAGGTCAGCCACTTTTTTTACTCTTTTACCTTTTTGTGTATGTGCACAGTTATAGGAGGCTTGTCTGGTTTTTCCATGTTGAGCCTTCTGTTTTTGCCATGAACTGTTAAGTTTAGGTGTTTGCATAGCAATAGATAGCTTAAGTACTACACGGTTCATCGAAAACTCCCTTGAAGATTGTATTATAGTGTGAGGGGTAACTTTTCATCAAATTCAGATAATTTGTATCTAATAATAATAATCTCCTCTTCTACTTATACCACAAACGTGGTATAGAATCTGCACTTTCCACACAATTTCTCTACTTGCTTCTATAAACTATGAGCGAGAAATAATAAAAGACAAAGTGAGATGTCTTTCAAGGCCCAGAGCGACCCAGGAGGGCTGAACTCTTTCTGTCTTCTCTGCAGGCCGAAGCCCATGACTCATCAGCTCTCCAGTCCAGATTTCCATGGAGAGGAGAAGAGTGAGCAGGTGACCAGTATTGGGCAGATCAAACCAGAGCTGTACAGACCACGGCAGGGCGAACAGGGTGATGGCAAACAGGGCGACACCTGCGGCAAAATCAGCTTCCTCCTGCGCTACGCCTTCAAGTGAGACAGTCATAACCACACCCTCCAAACAAACCCCAAAATACCCACCAGCCCTACTTTAAAACTCCATTATAACCTCGAGCTACCATCCAGAACCACATACTAACCACAAAACCCCATCCACATTCACAACCTCCTACCCTGTCCAAAACCCCATAATCACCCAATTCCATCCAAAACCTCATTATAACCTCCAACTCCCATCTTAAACCCCCTTAGTAGCCTCCAACCCCATCTAAAATCCCAATAATAAAATCTCCAACCCCATCTAAAACACCCTAATAACACCTAAACCCCACAACAACCTCCAGTCCCATCCAAAACTCCATAATAACCTCCAAATCCTATTCAAAATCTCTTAATAATTTCCAAACTCCATTCACAACTTCACAATCACCTCTCACCCCACCTTAAACCCCAATAATAGTCCCCAACCCCCATATAAAACCTCATAATAACATCCAAACCCCATAAAGACCTCCAGTCCCATCCAAACCCCCATATTAACTTATAAACCCCATCCAACCCCCCATATTAACCTATAAATCCCATCCAAAACTCTGATATAACCTCTAAACCCCTTCTAAAACCCCATAATAACTTGCGGTCTCCATCTAAAGCAACATTTTAACTCCCAAACCACATCCAAAACTCCATTATAACTTCCAAAATCCATCGTAACTTCATAATAACCTCCAAACACCCATGCTAGATTTCCATAATAACCTCCAAATCCCCATCCAAAACCCCATAATAACCTTCAATCCCCATCTAAAACTCCATAATAACCTCCAAACCCCCATCCAAATCCCCATAATAACCTCCAAACCCATCCCAAACTCCATAATAACCTCCAAACCCATCCAAATCTCCATAATAACCTCCAAACCCATCTGAAATTCCATAATAACCTCTAAACTCTACCTTTTTCTCCATTAAAGCTGCAACGAACAGCATTATATATTATCTATTATTCGATTAATCAGCCGTCTCCTATGCTTTCTGTAACATGTTGCACTCATTTAGAATGGCCACATGTATCATATGAACAATAAAGTGCATTATTGATAGTTTTAAATAAAGAACACAAACATATTTCCATCATAAACGTTGCTGGTGGCTAATCACTGTAGCTTTACTCTCCATTAGGGATGTCCTGATTCTGTCTGAGAGATCAAGGCATATTTTAATGGATCAACATTGGTATCAAGATTGGTATCAGCATTGAATTCCTCATGGTTGTGACATCACATTTGTATATGACACTATTTTAGCCTCACGCTTTCCTGCTTTGAGGTGATGCGGAGTGTTGTTCCTGCAGACGATCTGTGGCAGTTATTAACAGAGTGGAGGATGTGGGAAAACGATTAAACGTTGTGCTGTTTCTGGCTGCCGGGAAGCAAGTGGATCACTGCAGCCTTCCGAAGAGTCCACACCTCCGAAAGAAGTGGCTGAAGTTTAGTTTTTCACACATCCCTCAGGATTTCAGTCCCTGCTTCACAGTTTGTTCTGTATATTTCAGTCTGAACTTTCTGAATGAGACAGAATTCAGGTCAGCCAATGCGAACAAAGCTCATTTACATATATCAGTGTTAAAGGCAGAGTAACAAGACCAGTTTCATTCTAAGAGATAAATAGAGCTTGGAAAATGGTCAAGTAAAAATGCATTATGATGGTAAAAAAAAAAAAGCTAGAAAAATGTAGAAGATGGTGCCTTTAAAGCGCTTGGAATCCGGATCAGGAAAACTGGATGGGGACATCCCTGCTCTCCATACATTATCTGTACGTTTGAAATTGCCACAGTGAAGATCCGTGCCTCTCTATACATGAATGGCTTATAAATAGATTTGGCTCGGTGCAGAGCATTAAGCCTTAAAGAAAGGCAGGCAGCGCTGGGCGAGCCTCAGTGAGTTATAGTCAGCCTTTAGGTGAGACAGCTCTGCTCCTTTATTTCACACAGAGAGACATTAGAGCGTCTGAAAGTGCTGATGTTTGAGAAATGAGGGGGAGAGAGGCAGAGGCTGTTGCGGCCATGAATTATAAATGACCAGCCACTTTAAACAGGCCAGTCCGTCAACACGTAACAACACAAGGCCCTGTTAGATCCAGACATATAGACAGGAGAAAGAAAAGATGGAGGAGGAAGAGAGAAGAGAGCAAGCGGAGGAGATTCTTAAAGATATACGGTGATAAATAAAAGCCTCTGTCGATCCCGAAGGAGAGCAGAGGAGTTTGTGTGCAAATAGATGATTTGGCAAATTGTCCCTGTTCATCACACGTCTGGTGCTGGTGTCATTACACTTGCGTTACGGGTGCGAGGCAAACAGACACAAAGGAAGTCAGAATGAAGCACTTCATTCTCCTGGAGTTGGTTGCACCAGGTTTGCGTAGGTTTATACTTAAGTTTGGCCATAAAGTCTTCACTGAGTCCTTAGTTACATTAAGGCTTTGTTCACACAGCAGGTAAAAGTGGCCCCGAATCTGATTTTTCTTCTGCATATGTGACACAGATGTGTGTCTGTGTGTCAGTGTGAACAGATAAACACACTGAATCTGACATTTTCAATTCCATTTGAGACGCTTTCATATGTGGTGCTGAAATCTGATACGTATCCGATACAAAGCAATGCGTCTCAGTCTGAACAGCCAGATCAGAATTCATGACTTTTCCGTCAATCCAACTCAACATTCATCATAATTTCATGCTGCTGAGACTCATAAACATTCAGGCTGATGTTTCTGTACCAAAAAATAGAAGAGACTTCTCCAAACCCTCCGTGTTTGAAGAGATTTTGAAAGAAATGGCCGAACGCGGTCGTAGGAGAACGAGGCTGCAGCGTCAAAGAACAGTTAAAAGTCTGAAAACAAAGTTTAAAGAATCCGAGGACACGAACCAAAGATGTCACCGTGCCCTTTTTACAGTGAGCTGAACACATTCTGGGTGATGAGCCCAGCTGTCAGTCAGTGAAGCTTTATGATGGCTCCTGTGATGCTGGTGAAGATGAAGCTGATCCTCTGGGAGCGACTGGCGTTCGTTGGCAGTCGTGATTGTTTACCTCTGGATGAGCCGCGTGAAGCAACGTGACGCGTTGTTCTTTTGCATATGCGGAGAAGTTTAGGAACTGATTCTTTTCAGACTGACGCTGCATATAGATCACATTTTAGAAGATATTGTGAACACCTAAACAAAAACATCAGATTTGGTGAGAAAATCAGATTTGGGCCACTTTTACCTGCTATGTGAACGTAGCCTAGTTAGTTTCCAACTATCTTTTTACTAAATTTGGTTCCACCACAAATCCGTAAGTCGTGTCTAAACTAGTAACAACTAACTAATGCATACGTCGCTTTAACATGACGATAACCTGTTCAGAACCAGTCAGTCAGTAAGCGCACTGCCATTGAAACATGACGGCAGCTGCTCTGACTTTTTCCATATAAAAATATCCAGCATAGAAGAGAATGAAGTGAAAGTTAAACTGAATAAAGGTAATCATTTACAGCCACAGTCTGTTTATTGTATAATATTTCCCTGAGAAAACCAAATATGCAGATTTTTAAACACTGGTTTCTGGCTGACCAACACAACAGCAGATCAGTTTAGCCATTTGGGCTGCTGAGTCTCACTGAGCTGGAGCTGTGGATGTTTAGTTTCATGCTCTGACTTGAAACCAGGGTGACGATTAGAGCTGTAAGTAAAATCACAGCATATCGTGTTTAAAATTTTCAGCTTAGTTAACCAAAAAAATCTTTGGCCTTTTTTGTGCTTTCTACATGGTTTCTGATGGTTTCCCCAAAACCTGCACCTGCTGTGGGGGAGATTGTAACTAAGCTCAACATTAAAACTAGTTTGTGATGCAGGTTTTAGTAATGCATAAACCTAAACTTGGAAAACATTTACCTTCCAACTAGCCTACGCTTGAACTGCTGCTGCAACCTGCCACTGTACTTTATGACACTGTGTCGATGTTTCCCAAAGCCGGTCCTGACGGAGGCCTGTCCTGCTTATTTTCATCTTTCCACTGCTCGAAAGAACCTGATCCAACTAATTAGCTCCTAGGCCTCTGAAGTTACCCTGCCCAGTGGAGTCTCTGGCACAGAAAACCTGGTGGGGCACAATAAACTGTAGGGGCAGCAGCCTGATCCAAACACAAACGCACTCCATCAATGAAATCACAGATTCACAAACTAATGTAACGTGGAGACGGGAATATGGGTGATATGATAACATCAGATCTCACAAAACATTATGCAGCTTCGCATTACAAATCCAAAGTTATCTGGCAGTATACGATCATTATGGTCTGCAACCACATATCCAAAACAACATATCAGAGCAGGGAACATACTGCCTTCCAGGCTTTAGGAATAACACGCCCTGTAATGGTGCAGAATGACTCACCACTGCTCGAAAAAGAAAAGATGCAGGACGATCTTTTATCTTGGCAAACTTGTCGAAAAACTTTTCTCTCAAAGTCCCCCAATCCATGAATGAATTCGAGTGATACCACAGCAAGGGCAGGCAATGAAAGCAGGAGAGTGTTTTTAGCTACACTCACAGTTAGCCATGTTTTTCTCTTGAACCTCTCTGGACTGAAGGAGCAGTTTTTTGTCCTTTCCGGACTGAATGATGTTGAAATCCTCTGGCTGGTGTGTCCCAAATGTTTAATCTCTAATTTCTGCTCTAATGTACCAAATGCAACTTTTACCACATTTTCGACTTGACGCACTATATAGCCTCACTAGTATGACCAGAAGAACAATGGCTAGCTACTTAGCAACACTCATACCATAAACAACGTTTATTAAACCTCTGGACGTATTTCTTATGTTCTATTTGCTGCTCTCAGCATGGGCAAGCGTGATCGGCCCCATAGCTGGTTACTGAAAGCGTGTTGAACTTGCTCACTTGGTTAGACGAACGCTGACAGGCCCCACGCTCACCGAATGAAGACTGCTAGGAGAAGTAGGTCGGCTACTGGCATTCACACAACAGGTAC